TAGCTTTTTAAATATTCTATTATGAAAAATGATATATTAAAAGGTTTTAAAAAGAAGAATTTTTTATGATTAGTTTATTAATATCTTTATTTTTAATAATAAATTAATTTATATATATTAGATAAAAGTTTAAATAATAAACTGTTTATGTAAAATAAATAATAAGAACTATATCTTAAAGTTTTAAAATATCTTTAAAGTAAAGAAATATTTGTAATTAAGATAAAAAAAACTTTAAAATATAAATTAATTAATATAAGATTTTTAAAAAAAACTATCTTTAAAAAACATAAGTGAAAAAGAAAGAAATTTTATAAAAAAAATTTTTATTTGTATAATCAAAATTATTTTATTATAATCATTAATATATTCATAATTATATAATATAATATATTAATATTATTAATTGTGATATAAAATACTATTAAAAATAAAACATTTAGGATAATTTAAATAAAAAGTTAAAAAAAATAAAGTTATCAAATATAAATATTATTAAAATTAAAATATATTTTTATTAGATTTAGTTAATTAACTGATATTATTTAAATATTTTAAGTTAATATATCTTGACTAATAATATATTATTTTATAAATTTATAATTATTATTATAATATTTTATAAATAATCCTATTTAAATAAATATTATTTAAAAATATAATAAGTTTTTAATAGTATTATAATTAATTTTTTAAGATACTTATTTATTATAAATATTTAGTAAAAATAAAGATAAGTAAAAAGTTATATTTATAATTAATTTTAAAAAATGTATTAATATTAGATAGTTTATTTTAATAAAAATAATAAATGAATATTACTTCAATTAGTGTTCTATATTAAAAATATTTTTATATTTAAATTAAACTAATTAATTTTAGATTGTCTCTTCATTTTTAAAAAAATTCTATCTTATTTATATAGAATTATTAATCTATTTTTTTTATTAATTAAAAATAAAGTATAATTTGAAAAATTATAAAATATTATAAACTACATTAATAAATTAAAGCAAATAAATCAATTTAATTATATTTACATAAGTAATTTATTAATAATATTATAATTATTTTTGTTATTTCAAAATTTTAACCATTTTATCATCAGATTATAAATAAAAAATTATAACTTTTTTTGATAATGATCTGTATAATAATTTATTATTTCTTCTAATTAAAATATTTTATTAACCATTGATTCTAAAAGGTTGTGCTTATATTTATTAAGAAGCTCTAATTAAAATGAATCTAATAATAGTATTTTTATTAAAATATGATTATTGAGTTAAGTTATTTCATTTAATAATAAATAGTAAAATAATATATTTAATAAAATAATTTTAATTTTAATATAAAAAATATATATTAAATATTAATTTATATATAAAACAATATATATAATATATATACTGTTCTATATTAAATTACTAGATTCTAGTCATATAAATTAATATATTAGTTTTATAAGATGCATTTTTTTTTTCAAAAATTTTTAAAAAATAAAATACATAAAAATAAGTTATTAAGTGTATAGTATAAAAGAATTATTATGTATATTTTAGTAATATCAAATAAAAGTTATTTTAATTTAATTAAATATTTATTTTAATACAATAAATAATATAATTAAAATATAAAAAAAACAGGTTTTGCAGAATTTAAAAAATATTTCAAACACCTAAAAATATTTATTCAACATAATAATTAGGTCTTATTATATATTATTTATAATAATTAGCTTGCTTTTCTTGATAATATTATAAATAGTTTCTTATTATATATTATTTATAATAATTAGCTTACTTTTCTTGATAATATTATAAATAGTTTAAATTTTAAACTTTATATATTATTACTCATATTAATAAAAACTGATTAGCTAAAAAATAGATTTATAATATATATAGTAATATTATGAATTATTTGAAAATAATATAATAATATATATTTATTAATTTATTAGTATTAATAAAATTAATATTTTTTAATTTAAAGAACTTATAATGTAATATTTAAAATTTATATATTTAACAATTAAAAAAATATTAAGATAAAATGTGAATTTATTAATTTTTATCAATAATTCTTATTTTTAAATTCTTATTTATAAAATTTATATCTAAATATAAAGAATCTAATAATTACAAGAAGATAAGTAATTTAATTAGTTAATTATTAATTGATTTAAAAAAAATAAATATTAAATTTTTTTATAGAATTCACCTTTGAATAATCTAATACTTGAAATTTAATAGTTACAAATAATGACTTATTTTATTTAAGGGGAGCATTTAATTACGTGATTTTTATTATAATCAATATGACACAAAATTTCAAAGTAGAATCACAAAATCCTATCAGAATTATAAAAAATATTTTTTTTTTTATAATACAATATAAATTTTTTATAACCTATTTTAATAAAAAATTTTAATACTGATTTTGAGCTATTTTTATGATATTTTCAGTAATTCTTTCTACTATTACTTTATAGGACAATTATGTAAAACCTGCACTTGTATTTACCTTTTTTAGATCAATATGAACTTTTACCAACTCTTTCACAATTAAACTGTCAAGTAAACGTAAAATATCTTCAAAGTATCAAAGAGTTTTATTGTAATTTTATTTGTAAATTAGTAAAGAATTGAGTTGCTTTTCTTTGATATTATTATTATTTACTTTAGCAAAAATATGAATAATGTTAATAAGTAAAGTAGTTGATTTTTTATTTCTAAAAATTCTGTCACAGTGATAATAACTTTCAGTAAATAAATTATATCATCTTTTATATTTTCAGATTTTGGATGATCTTTAAGACAGTTTTTGCAACAATTACATTTTGTATATTGTAAAATTTGAAAATCAGATTGCCATGAATAGTAAGCTACAAGTTATTAAGCACAACATTTATAAATACTCTCATAATATGCAACTATTTCAAATATCTTTCTTTTTTTTTATTTAGATATTATGTTCGTTTAATAGATGTAGATTCATTATTATCAAAATTACTATAAAAAAATATTTATATTAAATAAAAAGTTTTTTTTATTTGTAAAAAAAAGAAATTATAGTACCTTTTACGACATTCTGTAATTATAGTATATATAGTTTTGATATAATTTCAGAAATAAAACAAAATACTCTATATTAGATTTTCATCTCGACCTATACATTTAGATTTTTGTATAAAATTACCTATGTAATAAAAAGTAATAAGTAAATCATCTTATAACTGATACTTCAACTTTTTTATATAAATATTAACTTATATTAGATAAGAATGTATAATGTATAATAATGCAAATATTAAGCGAATTTATGCTTAATCTAAAGGCATTTGTTACTATCATGACTTTTAGAAGTTGAGATTTCTATTGAAGTATAATTTGATCTTTTTTAAAACTTTTAAGGCCTTTATGATAAGCACTAATTGCTGTTTCTTTTAGTTTGTCTTACAAAAAAGATAATAATTCATTGCATACGCCTGGAGAAGAATAATAAATTATGCATTAGTTATTGCTAATTTATTAATAATTTTAGCTATTTCTACCAAATTTCTTTCATGAATACTCTTTTTTTTCACTATATATTCTATTTCTGAATGAGAAAAATTTATATTGTGAATCATATTAAAGTTCACAGAATTAATATTGAAATTTTGACGAATTATTTTTATATTATTTTAGAAAAAAGTGGCAGTAAGAAGTAAAATAGAAGTAGATGAAAAAAACTTTTTTAAGCAGCCTAGCTTCCTCTATTCGGCCTAATAAATAATTTAAAAAGTTTAGATTAATATATAAAAAAAAGAAACTTATAATTCTTATCTGTAATGATTATATTCTAAAATACAATAAACTTCATTAATTACAAATCTAACTCCTATTTCTTCATAAACTTTTCATAATATATTATAAAAACCTTGGTTGAGTATCAGTTTTTCTGGTATTATCAATAATATTTTAAGCATTTTACTTGCAATTTTTTGAAAAACTTTCTCTTGATATTCTATAGATTGTCATATTATTGCATAAAGTCTTATACATGGGATTCTAACTTTGATTAACTCTTTCTGAAATAAAGATAAAGATAAGTTAATATTTTTAAATTTAATTAATACAATTGTTAAAACTTATATAATTCCATTTGATCTAAAATTAATACTTTTAATGGTGAAATTACTACTGTTAATTTAGAAAATATCAAATTGAATGCTACATAGCAAAAAGTTTTACCATCTTCTATTTGAATTAATGTAAAAAACATTCTAGTCTAGATATATAGTTGAATAACTTCTTGCTGATATGAGCGAAATGAAAGAAATTGAAATATGTGCTAAAAAATAAATTGCTTTGAAGGAATTATTTAAATAGGTAATTTTAAAGTTATCTGATACAACTTATTGATAATTCTGTCATAATATCCTATTTGAATATAATAATTACATAATCTGTATAAGCCATTAGATGTGTATTTGAGAAAAGAGTAATAATAGATATATTTAACTATAGTGGAAAAATTTTTGATATAATAAGCGAATGAGAGTGTAAAATCTTTATGTTGTTATATTCTTTTTTAAAATTAGCGACCATAAAATATTAATTCTTGACTAAAGTCAAAAGATTCTAAGTCATTTTATTGATTTAATATTTATTCACCTTTTCCTTTTATTTTTTTGTTAATTTTTCATTATTATGCTCTCTATTCACTTGTCTTTATTATTGTATCTTCATGATATTTTTTTTATTATTTTCAGAATAACTTCCTACTTCTACAATATAAATAAATTCTAAAAGATTTGTAATATCCTCATTATTTTAGATTATAGCCAGTAAATAACAAGCTGCAAATGACTTTCAATAATTGATCAATTTAAAAAGATATACTAGTTTAATTCTATTGAATACTTCATTAGATGAGGTGTGAATTTCTGTTACTAAACCTTGACCTTTTGGTAATTGAAAAATTGTAAGCAAAAATTGGTAGAATATTTGCCATTAAGATTCAGTATATGTAATTAGATTAGGTTCTTTCAGTTCAATATCAGGATTATCTTTGATCCAGCAAACTTCTGACCAGCATAAAGAATGATCTTTATAAAGATATTTAATTAATCCCTCTACTTGAACATACTTTAATTTATTTTCACTAGAAGCATCTATTTCTTTATCAGCTTTCCTTACACTAGTAGCATAAATGCATCCATTAAAATATTGCATTACTACTTATACAAAAGAATGCTATTGTACACTCTTTACTATAAAAAAAATAAGATAAATTAGTTAATAACAATTATTGATTTATTGAATTTATATTTTTAACAATACTAACTAATTTTATTATGTATTAATTTTGCAACATGTTTTAAATTAGCAAATATTTGGTTAACTATTGCAACTGTACTAAATGTTTTATTACTTTCCAAATCTCTATTTATTTTGATATCAAGTAGCAGATCAAATTCTTCTAAAACTGATATGATTTTTGAAAAATAATAATTAAAATTGCATATTTTATTCTAGAGTTTTTATTATGATTTCTTTTATATGAAACAATGGTTTTGTCATCTTCCTTTTTGCATTTACATGATTTTTGATATAATGGAATTTAAGAATAAGTCTGTAAGGATACCCATTTAATTTTTTTGAAAAAATAAATTCACCACTAGCCTAGTTTGCATTTTTTACATATGATTATGACACTTCAAAGCCTACTGGCATAATTTTTTCATTAATTTTCTTTATATATTTATATGCTAATCAAAAAGTTTTGTTTACACTTTCTTCTACCTTTTCACAAATTGGATGGAAGATTTTTTTTGATTTTCATAATGAGATTTTTTGGTAAATTGCTATATTATTCTAAGTGTTGCTAAGATCATTTTAAGTGATTAATGATTTACTCCTCTGATTAATCTATTACTTGCTACTACTAAAGAAAAATTTGTCAAAAATTCGTTAGAATATTTTGTATATTTTTCACAATTGCATGTAACTAAAATTTTGAAAGTGAATCCTATAGAATGAATACTATATTAACGTTTAGAATTAAGTGTTATAAAGCATTATAAACATGATTGAGATAATACTAGTCAGAAGAATTAATCTATATTGATAAGTATAGCAGTACTGATATTTGATTCTTGAATCAAATGTGAAATTTTACTTTTGATATTTTCTTTATTTTTTGCAAATTAATAATAAAAGGATTCTTTATTTGTTTATGTTCACATTTAGCTAATTTATTTTCTGTATGCTTTAATTTTTTTTTCAAATTATTTTTCTTATTATATTCTGAAACATATTCACATATAAATGCTTGCGTTAAACTAGAAATCATGAAAAGTCCATCAGAATTGACTAAAATACCTAAATTAATATTTACTAATATAGAAGATATTATTAAAGTAGGTGTATTATTTTTCAAAAATAAACTTCTTGCTTTCGCTTCATTTTATTTTTATTTTACTTATAGTTAGAATTGCATTATGAATATTTTCAACTTGATTGAATAAATTTAGATATGCCATATTAATTACATTCCTGAGTTAAATTACAATTTCTAAGATATTGAATCCTAATAATGCAGGAATTGAAACATGTCCATCTAAATTAAGATAATTAGCCAATCTATAAAAAAAGTTCTAATGAGAAAATTTATGTATACAATTAGTAAGAGAAATATTATTTCTATAATCTTCATATGTGTAAACTAAATTATTATTACTATCTTTAGTAATTGTAAGTCATAAAAAAATTTTTTTTTCAACAAACTTTTACTATATAATTGACTAATAAAGGAACTCAAATACTTGTAGAATTATCTTTTAAGTGACCATATACTGTTAAAGCAAAATATTATATAATTATTGAAGAGCTAGAAATATCAAGTTCATTGTGTATATTCAAAGTTTCTAAGGATACAGATTTGTCAAGTATAAGCTAACTACTATTATATGATTGCTAGTAACTTTCAAAATGGGATTTCTTTGGCATAAAACTTGATACTATTTCTATAAAGACATATCTAAATATTGTATAATAATAATAAATGTTAAATTTAACAAAAAATAAAATAATAGAAAGCATTTTATCATTTTTAATAAAAAAAATTTAATTATAAATTTTTTGGTAATATGGATTCTGAATTTTTATATAGTGATTCTAAACTTTTTTTAAACTTTTTTTATATTTTCTTTTAAAGTATAATAAGTAAGTCTATATAAAAACTATATCTAACAAATTTTTAGGTTTTAAAGAATGAGAAAAAATGGTTTTTTTTAATGTTAGTTTATTTGATTATTATATTGATATTGATATGAAAATCATTATAGCACAAAAAATTTTAATGTTGATCAATTTTTTATTAAAATCACGTAACTACACGCTTACCTTAAAAGAATATTTTAATATTACTTTTGAATGATCAAATATTAATATTTATCTAAATATTAAAAGTTATAAGCAATGAGTTATAATAATTATTTGATATTTACTAATCTAAAAATTAGCTAAAAGTTAGATTATATTGATATAGAATACATTTTTATTTAAGAGAGATCTAAGTGTAAGTATTAAAAATTACTATAAATAGCTATATAATAATTATTTTACAATTTTATTTTAAATATTAGTTATAGAACTAAATTTAATAAGTGTAAAATACCATTTTCATATTTTTTATATTATGATAATTTGAAA